CTTTCGAGAAAAAAATTCGCGTAGGTTGACTTTATTAATAATTTAGTTAATAACTTTTTTAACGAAGTTTAAATCAATACATTGTTATTCCTGATTTTCTTCTTATTTTGACCTCTAGAAGGTTTTTATTACTGTTTCAAAAGAAATTAAAAATTATAAATCATTCTTTAACTTTTGCTAACGTACTAATGAACTTTTGATAATATCAAACCACTCGAAGTTATTTAAATGAACAAACGCATTTCACCAATAATACGAATAATATTTGCTTTGAGATCGTCAACAGTTTATGGTTTATTGGAACGAACAGGAGATTCAAGATGGCCTCGCGAGAAAAAGTTTAATGGCGTCGAGGCGCATGAAATCCACGCAATTCACGCAATTCAAGAGAAGATGAATTTGTCAAACGGTACAATAATATTACGGTCATTTTTTGCTATTTAAATAAATCATTACTCACTTGGAGTGACAATAGAAATACACAAGAAAAAATGAATTATTAATTAATTTTCGATTATTGTATTTTTAATTATATTTCTGGAAACGTCTGCTTCTGTACTGTTTATCAAATATATAATACAATTGTTCATTATTAAAACAGAATTATATAAGAACTATTATATTTTTATTGTTATTACTGAACGAGAAAGTTTTATAAATAATCGAACAACAGACACTGATTTTGTAAACGTGAATATTATGGAAAAAAGTGTAATTTGAAAGAACAATTATAAATATTTATTGTTACAGTCCTAATTAACAATTAATTTAATTATCTACTCACGTAGAGAGCAGCCTTTGAATGTTTCAATATTTTCATCCTTGCTGATTGAAAATAATAATTCCTTTCAATAACAAATGGTGACAACGTAATATTATTTTCTATATAAATAAACTAGAAATGAAAAAATAGAATTTATTTTAAATGTTTTCCAAATATTTTTCGGTTCTTCTCTACCTCTATTTCCCTTGCACGAATAATTAAAAAAAACTATTTTATATCTCAATGTAACGATTTCAAACACACGTCTAATCTCTACAGAGAGAATTTGACGACATTAGAAGACAAAAGAGGTTGAAAACCATAAATTATCCGTGTTACGAGAGCTGTTATGAGATGAACTCGATCGAAAAGCGAAGCAAATGCAGCAAATTACTTCCTAGGTTATAAAAGAGTTTAAAGGTAAAATGGCGTAAGATAAATCAAGTTACAATAAGGAAATGGGCTTTTTAAATAACGTTCAGTTGTTTTTAAGAATCCTGACGATTACGTGAACGATTCAAAGATTTAACTATCAAGTACATAATTATTTTTTTTAGAAAGAAACGTGTGTATTCTATTTTTATATTCATGATTCTGTGATTTGAAATAAACGAGACGCTCGTCTGGAGAGATTTCTTGCAAAAACGAGGCATTTATATATGTTCATTTCTATAATTTTATGTCAATCACGAAGAAGTATAAAGAATAATGAAGAAGTGTAAAGAAACTATCAAATACTCATTTCAGTAATGAAGAAGTGTAAAGAAATTATCAAATATTCATTCCAGTAATGAAGAAGTGTAAAGAAATTATCAAATACTCATTTCAGTAATGAAGAAGTGTAAAGAAATTATCAAATATTCATTCCAGTAACAAAGAAGTGTAAAGAAATTATCAAATATTCATTCCAGTAATGAAGAAATGCAAAGAAATTATCAAATACTCATTGCAGTAATGAAGAAGTGTAAAGAAATTATCAAATACTCATTCCAGTAATGAAGAAGTGTAAAGAAATTATCAAATACTCATTCCAGTAATGAAGAAGTGTAAAGAAATTATCAAATACTCATTCCAGTAATGAAGAAGTGTAAAGAAATTATCAAATACTCATTCCAGTAATGAAGAAGTGTAAAGAAATGATCAAATACTCATTTCAGTAATGAAGAAGTGTAAAGAAATTATCAAATATTCATTCCAGTAACAAAGAAGTATAAAGAAATTATCAAATATTCATTCCAGTAATGAAGAAGTGTAAAGAAATTATCAAATACTCATTGCAGTAATGAAGAAGTGTAAAGAAATTATCAAATACTCATTCCAGTAATGAAGAAGTGTAAAGAAATTATCAAATACTCATTGCAGTAATGAAGAAGTGTAAAGAAATTATCAAATATTCATTCCAGTAACGAAGAAATGTAAAGAAGTTGTCAAATATTAATTCCAATAATGAAGAAATGCAAAGAAATTATCAAATACTCATTGCAGTAATGAAGAAGTGTAAAGAAATTATCAAATATTCATTCCAGTAATGAAGAAGTGTAAAGAAATTATCAAATATTCATTCCAGTAATGAATAAGTGTAAAGAAATTATCAAATACTCATTGCAGTAACAAAGAAATGTAAAGAAGTTGTCAAATATTAATTCCAATAATGAAGAAATGCAAAGAAGCTGTCGAATATTCGTTCCCACAATGAACAAGTGTAAAGCAAGAATAGAATATTCATATAAATTACAAAAAGACATGAAGAAAGTACAAAAGTATTTGTTTCAATAATAAAGAAGTGTAAAGAAGTTGTCAAATATTAATTCCAATAATGAAGAAATGCAAAGAAGCTGTCGAATATTCGTTCCCACAATGAACAAGTGTAAAGCAAGCATAGAATATTCATATCAATTACAAAAAGACATGAAGAAAGTACAAAAGTATTTGTTTCAATAATAAAGAAGTGTAAAGAATTTGTCAAATATTAATTCCAATAATGAAGAAATGCAAAGAAGCTGTCGAATATTCGTTCCCACAATGAACAAGTGTAAAGCAAGCATAAAATATTCATATCAATTACAAAAAGACATGAAGAAAGTATAAAATATTTGTTTCAATAATAAAGAAGTGTAAAGAAGTTGTCAAATATTAATTCCAATAATGAAGAAATGCAAAGAAGCTGTCGAATATTCGTTCCCACAATGAACAAGTGTAAAGCAAGCATAGAATATTCATATAAATTACAAAAAGACATGAAGAAAGTACAAAAGTATTTGTTTCAATAATAAAGAAGTGTAAAGAATTTGTCAAATATTAATTCCAATAATGAAGAAATGCAAAGAAGCTGTCGAATATTCGTTCCCACAATGAACAAGTGTAAAGCAAGCATAGAATATTCATATCAATTACAAAAAGACATGAAGAAAGTACAAAAGTATTTGTTTCAATAATAAAGAAGTGTAAAGAATTTGTCAAATATTAATTCCAATAATGAAGAAATGCAAAGAAGCTGTCGAATATTCGTTCCCACAATGAACAAGTGTAAAGCAAGCATAGAATATTCATATCAATTACAAAAAGACATGAAGAAAGTACAAAAGTATTTGTTTCAATAATAAAGAAGTGTAAAGAATTTGTCAAATATTAATTCCAATAATGAAGAAATGCAAAGAAGCTGTCGAATATTCGTTCCCACAATGAACAAGTGTAAAGCAAGCATAGAATATTCATATCAATTACAAAAAGACATGAAGAAAGTACAAAAGTATTTGTTTCAATAATAAAGAAGTGTAAAGAATTTGTCAAATATTAATTCCAATAATGAAGAAATGCAAAGAAGCTGTCGAATATTCGTTCCCACAATGAACAAGTGTAAAGCAAGCATAGAATATTCATATCAATTACAAAAAGACATGAAGAAAGTACAAAAGTATTTGTTTCAATAATAAAGAAGTGTAAAGAATTTGTCAAATATTAATTCCAATAATGAAGAAATGCAAAGAAGCTGTCGAATATTCGTTCCCACAATGAACAAGTGTAAAGCAAGCATAGAATATTCATATAAATTACAAAAAGACATGAAGAAAGTACAAAAGTATTTGTTTCAATAATAAAGAAGTGTAAAGAAGTTGTCAAATATTAATTCCAATAATGAAGAAATGCAAAGAAGCTGTCGAATATTCGTTCCCACAATGAACAAGTGTAAAGCAAGCATAGAATATTCATATAAATTACAAAAAGTCATGAAGAAAGTACAAAAGTATTTGTTTCAATAATAAAGAAGTGTAAAGAAGTTGTCAAATATTAATTCCAATAATGAAGAAATGCAAAGAAGCTGTCGAATATTCGTTCCCACAATGAACAAGTGTAAAGCAAGCATAAAATATTCATATAAATTACAAAAAGACATGAAGAAAGTACAAAAGTATTTGTTTCAATAATAAAGAAGTGTAAAGAAGTTGTCAAATATTAATTCCAATAATGAAGAAATGCAAAGAAATTGTCGAATATTCATTCCCACAATGAACAAGTGTAAAGCAAGCATAGAATATTCATATAAATTACAAAAAGACATAAAGAAAGTACAAAAGTATTTGTTTCAATAATAAAGAAGTGTAAAGAATTTGTCAAATATTAATTCCAATAATGAAGAAATGCAAAGAAGCTGTCGAATATTCGTTCCCACAATGAACAAGTGTAAAGCAAGCATAAAATATTCATATCAATTACAAAAAGACATGAAGAAAGTACAAAAGTATTTGTTTCAATAATAAAGAAGTGTAAAGAAGTTGTCAAATATTAATTCCAATAACGAACAAACCTAAAGCAAGCATAGAATAGTAATTTCAATCCCCAAAAGTTATAAAGGAAATACAAAGCATTTGTTTGAACAATAAAGAAAATAAAGTGTTAATAAAACATTCGGAGAAATTATTAAATACACTATTAAAGGTATGTTCGCATAATTCGTTGTATTCTTTACGATATATTTTTGTGAGCAAAACAAATTAACTTTTAATTAATTTTAAGCGTAGCAGATACTTTTCATCCATTTTATATAAACAATTTTTGTAAGAAATGACCTGGATTAGAATTTAGCGACTACCAAAGGACATAAAAATAGTATTTAAAGGATATAAGAATAGATGTAATTATTATTCCGTCGTTTGCGTAGAAAATTATTTAATATTTATAGAAAATTATTAATGTAATGATTATAGTGAAATTTTTATGATAATGCAAATAAACTTACCTAGCTCTCGTTTGGTACGTAAACCTTTCAGCTTCGAATCCTGCGTGTGCTCTCGCCTGTAAATTGTTATCTATCCCGTAGAGGTAATCTGCAAATAAAATATAATAATTTAATCGTAATGGATTAATATTCGTGTTTCGAAAATTATTGTCAATTTAGAAGATAATTGTAAAAGGTACCAAGGAGATGCTAGGCGACGCTGAATGAATAGAGCTGGGTGATTACGTTAATGAGCTCCTTAACATTAACGAGAAAATTCTCTCCGATTGTGAGTCGATTTTGTGACGTAACTATGCCAACGCCACAACCAGCAACAACCATGCCGATTTTTGTGGCGGCGTGAGAGAAATCTCACTATTGTTTTCACTGGATTTTCTTAAATTCGTAATACCGACAGTCGCGTCTTGTCGATTGCGTAACTATTTGTGTGGCTATTAAAGAAGACAGCGTTCGAAATTTTGGCAAAGGGTATAGCCGAATAAGGGGGTCAAATGTGCACTTGAACCAAATGTGACATACGATGGATCCATCGATAGAGCATCAAGAAAAAACGTTCTGTGCCAAATTTTAACCCTCTATCTTGTTTGGAAGGGTAGTTATTGAGAAAATTCGGATTAACGAATTTCTGCCTATTTCCCCTATTTAATCGAGTACAAAAATTATGAAAAAAATTTAGTGCATTGTGGTTATTGAGATACGTGTTTGAGAATTTTTTCCGATTTTTCGATTCCAAATCCTAGGTGTGAAAAATTAAAAACGCAAAAAAACACAGAAAAATACGGATTTCGTATTGAAGCTTTCGAGACACTAGATTTCTATAATTACTGTAAATGCGTATTGTCATTGGTTATCTCCCTGAATTTTTTCAGATTTTTTGGTAGGGTGCGCCTTAGTAGCAAAAATGAAAAACCGATTTTTTAGACGTTTTTCGCGTGAAAAAGCATCTTATACTTTGAATTTTTGTATTCTCTTTAATAGATAACTATATTGTATGGTTTTAAACATTTCTATGTTGTGCAGAACAGTGTATACAAGAAGAAAAGCAGAAATAAGTCACGAAAGAAAAGTGCTATGCGCGATATATTTATTTGAATTTTTTTTCGAAACTGTGTAGGATTTCGGGGGTATGTCTATTCACCAAAAATAATTGTAATTGACCCCCTTAGCTAGAAATAATTTTTTCAAAACGATTTGAAATTTTTTTTTCGTCGAAAAATTTAGACACCTACCGCCTTGGTTGATTTTTCTTAAAAAATTGTTTTTCATTTTTAATAAATTTGTTTCACGCTCTACAGAAAAAATGTCTAATACTTTTTTATATGCACGGATGAGCTCTACTTTAGAAAAAATTTTCATTGAAATATGTTCACTATTGTAGGAGTTATGGCCGTTTGAAAATTGGACCATTTTTATGGGGTTTTTCTAACTTTACGGGATTAAGGAACAACTTTTTCACTATTGTTATAATGCCTACATATTCTTCACCAAAATACGCGTTATTTGCCGCTTCAAACATTAAAATCCTTCACTACGTTCAGAAGTTATGACATTTTAAAGATTCGCATTTACTCGATTTAATTTCATACTCGCGAATAGAATTTTCGAAAGAATTCCTTCAACTATCGCGCTATAAATGTCAAGAGTTTTCGAGAACAACGTTAATTACATTCAAGTAATATCAAAATATGCAAATATTAATTTTGAAACTAACCGTTCTCGAATTCAATATTTTTTCTCGCTTTAAGATCTCACGTGGGAACGTATTTAACAAAATTTAAACGAATTTTAGGTTCATAAACACGTAAATAAATAAATATACAATAAGTCGTTGTAACAGATAAACAGAAATACTTTTTGGCAGCCATTTTCCAAATCTCATTATTAAATATTAGTTAACAACGTTTATTATTTATTTGTCTAAAAATTTTGTTTAGATGGTATGATGTATTTGTTTTAAAAATTATTTATCAGAGCTGATGTAACTTGGAACGCCATTTTGTCCTATACTTTCTTTTAAACGTCATCTGATTAGTCAGTGATTTGTTATCTAATAAGAAGCAAAGGAAATATGTAGTAGTTTTTCTAAAGAAAAAAGCCTTGAAAGTATCGAATACAGGTGTTTTTACCCCAGTTAGAATTTTCTAATTCCAACGAATGATGCAATACCGCGAACAAAATAATGGAGGCCATTTACCAGATTCAACTTTCAAAACATTAACGTTAAGAAACTCCAAAAATAAACTTTTCTACAATAATTAAATGCAACGTATAGTCGATGAAGTTCTAATAAGAGAAACGAATCAGAAAGTAATTTTTTAGTCACTCTTTGCTCTTTATAAACATTTTAATAATTTTGATAAGCTGACCTAAGATTTCCAAATTGACAATTTATTTATTCGTCAATGATTGTGGGAGCAATCGATATTCTTATCACACGATATTTACACAATAATAAATTTACACGTTATAATTAAAAATTGATTAATTATTAAATAAAAATATCCAGTTACCTGAAATATCGAACTGGTGCTGTGTTGTGATGGCTAGTGTCACAAGAACCACAGTAGACAGCAGCCCTAAGCTGCATCTGTAACCGAAAAATGAATTTCTGTTAACACGACTGATTTCTCCTTTTTATAAACAAAGTAACTATGAAATAACGCACCACAGACAGCAAAGTAAACATATTAGTGAAAGCTGTAGCAAAACTTGGACTACAAGGAAATAGATGAAAAATACGAAATAAAATACTGATAATAATTTGTTATAATTTGACATTGATAATGTATAATTTGATTACAACTGGAGGTACAATCATCTTTTATCCGTTTCAAATTTAATTTAAAAAGAACCTTTTTTTATAAATTCACTGTTTGCAATTGGATACCTGAAATAAAAAGATTTTTAGAAAAGTCCAAACGAGAAGTACTGTATATCGTATATCTAATTTACTATTTCCATTTGAAAATGTAGATAATTCTATCTCCTGATGCTACGTTTCCCTTGTTCGTTTATTTCGATATCGTATAAGGAAGCGAAGCAATATGTATAATGCGAATTATGGATAAATAATCTAGATTCGACCTAGTGGCAGTTTTAAGTCCTGAATTGCATTGTAGTTGGTGTCTTATCTAATACCAACGTTCTAATTCTATTGTGTTGAGTCATAAGTAACTGTTTTATTGCCCTAGACTAGCGGTTCTCAATCTTTTTTCCCCCGCGCAGCAGCCAACCAATCATGACCAAGCCATGCACCAATTTTTAAACAGCATCTACGTAAGAAGATATTCCAGTGAGCAGTTTATAAAAAATTTGCAGATAAACTATAACACCTTTTGCAGTCAAATTCACAAGATTTATTTACACGCGTTTGAGTGATATTTTCAAATTTTTTGGGATAAAAGAAAGTTAAAATTGGCGACACTGCATACTCTCAAACACAGTCAAACATAGTCGATCTTAAAAAATCGACTTCCTTTAAACAACTTCATTAATTTTAGGAGTTCAGGCATACAGGGTGTTCGGCCACCTCTAGCAAAAATTTTAATGAGCGATAGTAGAGGCCAAAATAAGACGAAAATCAAGAATACTAATTTGTTGATGGAAGCTTCGTTAAAAAGTTATTAACAATTAAATTCAAAAATTTCAAATCGTTCTGGAAAAATTATTTTCGGTTGCGGGGGTCAACTAAAATCATTTTTGGTGAGTACACATACCTCCGAAATCCTATCTAATTTCGAGAAAAAAAATCGAGTAGGTGCTGAAATTTTTCGGCGAAAAAAAATTTTTCAAATCGTTCTAAAAAAATTATTTTCGGTTGCGGGGATCAATTACAATCATTTTTTATCATTACACATACCTCCGAAATCGTACGCACTTTCGAGAAAAAATATTCCTTACTGAAAATCCAATTAGGTGCCTAAATTTTTCAACGGAGAAAAAAAATTGCAAATCGTTGTGGAAAAATTATTTTCGGTTGCGGGGGTCAATTACAATCACTTTTTGTCATTAGACATACCCACGAAATCCTGCCCACTTTCGAGAAAAAAAATAGAGAAGGTGCGAAATTATTCGAGAAAATTAAAAAATTGCAAATCGTTGTGGAAAAATTATTTTCGGTTGTAGGGTTCAATTACAGTCATTTTTTGTGAATAGACATACCCCCGAAATCTTGTGCATTTTCGAGAAAAAAATTCAGTAAGAGCGGCACTTTAAACGTTAATAACTTTTTAACGAAGCTTCCACCAACAAATTAGTATTTTTGATTTTTGTCTTATTTTGGCCTCTACTATCGCTCATTAAAATTTTTGCTAGAGGTGGCCGAACACCCTGTATATGTATGTTTCTCAAATTGTATTCTTTAAGAAAATGCAACAATAAAAGAAAACAATTTTTTTAAAAGTTCGCATTAGAATAACCCCTTGAATGCTATATGTAATAGTAATTGAAGCTATGGAATAGATCTAAATTGAATTTCTTTTCATTGTTAACACTGGAGCTACAGACAATTATGGTGCATTTATTTGTACAAAGAAATTGAAACGATATTTATTGATTCTCTAACAGAAAATAACGGTCAATTTTCAAAAATATGTATTCCACTAGTCTTGCAAAAAATACTAAAAAAACTATAAATTTTAACAGAAGGATTTTCATTTTATAATTTTATTATATTTCAAAAATACATTAAATTTTTTATTTTTTTTATTTCCTTCATTCACGTTAAATATACATATTATATGTAATAGGGAAAAAGATGTTTTTACTCGTAAAAAAAGGCGGGAAAAATTGCAGTGGATTGAGAGTTACGTTTAAACTTGACTCAAACATACAGTGAGTGTAAAAAGTATTCGTACACTGGTCAATTTGAACAAAAACTTTGCAGAACTTTGTTTATTACAAAAGTATGATAACAAAAACATGCATACATATTCTTAGAAATCTCTGGAACAAATGTCATTAACAAAAAATTATTTATTTATATTTATTATGAAAATATTAACAAATTTCCAGTAAATTGGCGTGAAATATACGTGTAATAAGTATTCGTACAGTCTTTGATTCGTAACATTCCACATAGAACGATTACAAGATAATCCATGATATGTAAACATACTTAGCATCAGTATGTCTGAAGACGCTGTCGGTATAGGTAGTATCCTGAATTCAAACATTATCAACGAAATTATCAGTAAAATGGGACGAAAACGCAAGGAAACCTCTGAAGAAGAAAGAAAAATTGTTATAAATTTACATAATAAGTGTAAAACACTGAGTGAAATTTCTAAAGTTTTAAATAGACCGAGGTCCACGATTCAAGGAATCATCGACAGATATGGCGATCGAAAAACTGTAAAAACTAATCCAAGAAACGGATAATCCACGTAAACGAATAATAAATGAGTATACCGGCCGATGGATAATTCGAAAAATGAAGCAAAATCCAAAGATAAGTGCGGTGAAAATCACAGCTGAACTTAAAAATGATCTGGACATTAATTGAAGGAGGTTTGCTCGTTCCACCGCAGCGCCACCTTAGTATTGCGCCATGTAGTCGTGCTTAGGCGCATGCCTGTTTGAGTTTGTTCTTTTTATGCTTATTACTTATTATATATATCTGTATTATGTATCTGCATTATGTGTAATAACTAAATATATTGAGTTATGTGTGTAAGTGGAGTTATTCAAAACCCCAACAAAGGGTTATGGGCCCAGCATTAATGTATGCAGTAGCACAGTACGTAATTTTTTACGGGATAGAGGATATCACGGCAGAGTAGCTCGTAAGAAATATTTCGTAAATGAAATTAATAGAAAGATACGATTGCAATTCGCGAAAGAGTACGTTAATGTTTCTATGGAGCACTGTGTTGGGAATGTTGGCAAACATGCATGTGTTGGAGGGATTTCCTTTTTCCTTCCTTGGCAGGCGTGCGCGTAGTTTTTTGTTTTTCCAAATAGCCGAACGCAGTTGAGAGTATCGTGCACGAAAATGATCCATGTTATATATAAATAAACGTAACCTTAAAAACGTATGTGTCGTTGGTTGTTTAAACTCTGTAACCTCTGCTACACACTGGAACCGTATTATATTTACCGATGAGAGTAAATTTAACATATTTGGGTCAGATGAACGATGTACAGTATAGCGGGGAAAAAATACCGAGTACGAAAAAAGAAATTTGAAGCCGACCGTAAAGCATGGAGGAGGATCAGTCACAGTTTGGCAGTTAGGCTCTATGAGTGCGAGCGGGGTTGGATCCCTCCATTTTATCGATGGTATCATGGATCAGAAAATGTACATCGATATTCTAAAAGAGCATCTTCAGGTTAGTGCAAATAAAATGCAGTTACAGGGCAATTATATATTTTTGCAAGATAATGATCCAAAGCATAATGCTTATAATACACGTCAGTGGATCCTATATAATGTGCCGCAGCAATTAAAAATCCCTCCAGTCTCCAGACGTTAATGTGATAGAGCACTTATGGAGTCATCTTGAAGAAAAAATTCGAGACCATCGCATTTCTTCGAAACAAGATTTAAAAAATGCACTTTTAGAGGAATGGAACAAAATTTCTAGTAGTATAACCAAAAATTTAGTAAATTCAATGTCGCAAAGGCTTAAAGCGATTATAGAATCTAAAGGAAATCCCACTAGATACTAAAATAGCAAATAGACTGATTTTTGTTACGTTTATGTACTAAAATTTATAGTTTTTCTTGTAAAATTAGGAGTGTACGAATACTTATTACGCGTATATTTCACGCCAATTTCTGGAAATTTGTTAATATTTTCATAATAAATATAAATAAATAATTTGTTGTTAATGACATTTGTTCCAGAGATTTCTAAGAATATGTATGCATGTTTTCGTTAACATACTTTTGTAATAAACAAAGTTCCGCAAAGGTTTTGTTCAAATTGACTAGTGTACGAATACTTTTTACACTCACTGTATTTTAACAACAGTTTCGAAAGGGTTAACGCGCGAGACATAGTTCTCGTTAGGATGAACGAAGATAGTGAAAGGAAGGCAGAGCCATCGATATCGATATTTATCGTTCAAAGACACGATTAGCAGTTCGTTTAGTCGACGAGCCGTGACTGTTTTAATGAGCGATTCGAAGCATCCTTAAAATCGTCGGTATGCGAGTCCGCGAATGTCTCCGCGCATACTTTCTCTGCGAGAGCAAGCGAAATCCAATGACGTAGAAAGAGAGACGAGGAGATAGAGAAAGGCCATGAAAGATCAAGAGCAGGGAGCGGATTCGCTCGACGATCGCAGCCCGAGAATTTTTCTTTTCCGACGGATCTTTCCTGGAATCTCGTCCAGAGTTACGCGCCCGAAAACCTTGTTTGTAGACTGCGGATGTTTATGCATTTATGGGAAATTTTAATCCTAGAAAAACTACAGAATGCATTTAATATGCAAAAATATAAGAAATACTTAAAGTAAGATACGAATTATTATGTTTAGGGGTTGAGACAGAACTCTATAAAGCTTTGATTTCATTAATTTCATTGATAAAAATGTGAATTTGCATAAAGATCCGCAGTCTACTTATTTCCGACCTGTCAGTTT